AATACATGGAATGGGGTTTTTTCGATGGCAGCGTCAGGTTCTACTCTGCCGATCACCGCAAGGTATGGCAACGATGAATATGTTTTTTCGAGCGATATAGCCTCTGACGCGATTGCAGCTTCTTGGCCATTTTGAGCACATCCATGCGGGCCAACTGTCGTGCGCATTGTTCGCCGACTCCAGGACGTTAGTGACGGCGGGAACAGACTGCACCGTCTCGATCTGGACTTTCACCTCGTCGGGCAAAAGCGTCGACCTACAGCCATCCGGATCATTGTTCGGACATCGTTCTCCGGTCACAGTCCTTGCGGTGTCCTGGTCCTTCAGTGCGCTCTTGTCAGCCTCAACTGATGGGCAGATCATGCTATGGGATCTCAATCGGCAGTGTTTTGTACGAGAGCTGTCGGCCAATGGACCTGTTGATGTAAGCTGTCCCGGGATATGTGAGGACTTCTGATGCCTAACATTTGAATAGTGTGCTAAGATCAACGATGTTACCGGCGAGATCATGATATGCCGCGGCGATCGTCTCAGTTTATACAGTCTCAATGGCGCCTTGTTACTCGAACAGGTGGTAGGCGACTCTGCAGACGACCAAGTCATGACTTGCGTCTTCTACGAGGGAGTCAACAATATGTGGCAAGAGCGGGAGCTGCTATTTACGGGGCATAAACGGGGTGTTGTCAATGTGAGTTATTCATTCAAAGTGCCGAGCCCTACAGTCACTAATGCCTTTCAGATCTGGAGCAAAATCGTTCATCATGGACGCTTTGAGTTAGAGCTCATTAGGCAGCTACATCATGTGGACAACCTCCGTGACAATGGCGCCAACATCTTGGCAGGTATCACCAGCATCCTTGCTTTACCGCATGTTGTCTATACCGGTGACGAGGTTGGTAGAGTGGTGAGTACACACGGAATGTGATCCAAAGGTTGATCGCTTGCTAATTGAGGACTAGTATGAATGGAGCTGTGTTCAACGCCGATGATAAGGTTGGGAAAGGGACTCGATACGCATTCGGCCGTTGCTAGAAGACTTGAAGGGGATTTCTAGACGCGATTAAATCTGGGTGATAAGGGTCACAATGCTGATCATTTTCGGATGGCTGAGTTTATGTACGATCGGCCTAGCCTCTGCGATCCACCCAGGCAGTATTCGGCATGCAATCTTTGATTCACACTTTCGTCTCCAGCCCAGTTCTGTTCCACCGGGTATGACAAAGATTGGAGACTCCACTGTATATAGCCAAAAAGATCCCGTGGGGGAGACACGCGGAGAAAAAAGTTGCGGTAGCCACGGATGTGTGGGGGCAGTTGTACTACATCAAGACTAGACAAAGGGGCCCAGGAGTCATTGAAGGGCGGGTATATTGTCCTGAATGGGAAGCATCACCTCCAAAGAATCATTCGAGAACGGTTAAATTCGGTTTTAATGGCGGATCAGGGGGGTCCTGGAACCGGAAACCCATCTGCCTCGTTATTCCGAGTACTCCGTCGTGAGCTGGAACGTAGCGGGCAAAGCCCACGGGAGCGAAGACAAAGACCGCAGAACGAGCCGAAGAGGGGCAACCGAGGGGTAAACGGGAACGGTAGGGGAGTACTGCTGTACGGTGTACCTATGACCATGCAGTAAGCCCGCAGCTGCTGCGGCGGCAGCTCAAACACGCTGGGGAAGAAACCTCCGGTGAAGCAAAAAGGGCCTGGATGGGGTCGTGATTAGCCGGGCGTGAGTGGACCGCCCGGCGCTGTCTTGCCGGCCCAGTGTGCTCCGGTCTGCACCAACCAACAATGCATGAATTGAAGTATGTATGGAGGAGGGTAGGATGTGAGAATGGGAGAGAGATGATACAGGCACTGAGTAGGACTAGTGCCTCTCGTGTTGAGTGGGAGCTATAACGATAGTGGTAGTAACCCGTAGGTGTAGGTGGGATGTACGCATTGTGGATGAAGAGGGGTTGCAGAAGAGAAGAGAAGGAAGGCAGTTAAGTGGAAGGAAATATTAACTGGAACAACAACAGAAACGAGCAGAAAGGCATAGCGTCATCGGGGAGGGAAGCTGTTTTGCCCCACCATTCGCTCATCCAGTTTCCCTTCCCAATTCAACCCCCCCTCCCACTCCCACTTCTCTCTCCGCTGACTTCCCCTACTTATTCTTACCCAATCCCGCCTCTGATCCTTTTCTTCTTCTCTTCAATCTATCGAAAAAGTTCATTTTACTCACTTCTAATCCTCAACTCCCTACCTTTTCACACTCATCTATCACAATGTCTTCTGCTCTCGAACAGCTCAAGGCCACCGGCACCGTATGTGATTCCTTCCCGCCCAACTCCCGCGATTCTGCCAACTAACCATCTTCGTTCATTTGAAAAAAAGGTCGTCGTTTGCGACTCCGGTGACTTCGCCACCATCGGCAAGTACAAGCCCCAGGATGCCACCACCAACCCCTCCCTCATCCTGGCTGCCTCCAAGAAGCCCGAGTACGCCTCCCTGATCGACAAGGCCGTCGAGCAGGGTAAGAAGGAGGGCAAGACCGTCGACGAGCAGGTCGACGCCACCCTCGACAACCTCCTCGTCGAGTTCGGCAAGGAGATTCTCAAGATCATTCCCGGCAAGGTCTCCACTGAGGTCGATGCCCGTTTCTCCTTCGACAAGCAGGCCTCCATTGACAAGGCTCTGCACCTCATCAAGGTACGATTTCTGTCGACGTCGAGAGAGGGACGAGGAAATGTGAGACTAACATTGTGTACAGCTCTATGAGAAGCAGGGTATCTCCAAGGACCGTATCCTGATCAAGATCGCCTCCACCTGGGAGGGTATCAAGGCCGCTGAGGAGCTTCAGTCCAAGCACGGCATCAACTGCAACCTTACCCTCATGTTCTCCGAGGTCCAGGCCATCGCCGCCGCCGAGGCCGGTGCCTACCTCATCTCTCCCTTCGTTGGCCGTATCCTCGACTGGTACAAGGCCGCCCACAAGCGCGACTACACCGCCCAGGAGGACCCCGGTGTCAAGTCCGTCCAGAAGATCTTCAACTACTACAAGAAGTACGGCTACAATACCATTGTCATGGGTGCCTCTTTCCGTAACACCGGTGAGATCACCGAGCTGGCTGGCTGCGACTACTTGACCATCTCCGTAAGTTCCCATCATTCGCCTCGCGCTGCCTCGTCATGTTCGGCCGCAGAAACTAACCACATGGATTACAGCCCAACCTCCTTGAGGACCTCTACAACTCCACCGAGGCCGTCCCCAAGAAGCTCGACGCCACCGATGCCGCCAAGCTCGACATCCCCGAACGCTCTTACATCAAGGACGAGGCTCTCTTCCGCTTCGACTTCAACGAGGAGGCCATGGCCGTCGAGAAGCTCCGTGAGGGTATCTCCAAGTTCGCCGCCGACGCCGTCACCCTCAAGGACATCCTCAAGTCCAAGATCCAGGCATAATGGAATAATTCTGTTTTCCGTTTGTCCTGCGTTCTGGTTTGCTGATCTAAATTGTGTGTGGCAGTATGCATGCGCGCGCATTTTCTTTTCAAAACTTTTCTTTGTGATGACCCATATATTATTCCCACTTGTGTAAAGAAAAATTTGATGATCATGATAATTTGATGAGTTTCGAAACAGTTCAGCTGGATTTGGGCTGGGTAGATACAAAAAATGATGATTGTCATTTAGAGTGAGCGCTTTGGTAAATTGACTGCATCTTGCTCTTCTTATATGTCCTACAGCGTAGAAATACTCGGATCGTGATAGTGAAGAAACTTATAGTGTGCACGAAGGAATCCGCTGGTGGGGTAAATGTCCTGGTACAGTACGAGTCAGTCCGAACTCCAATATGACAGCTGCAGCAAGGGCACAACTTGCATGCAGCATGCCGATGGTGTATGGTGACATGGCCGCTTTAGAACAGAACCATATAGTTACTGCGTAGAGTAACAATTATCACAAAGGGCGCTTCGATGCAACATTGAAGCTGCGTTAATAAATTATATCCGAGGTTCCAATCCCGTGAATTGAATAGGAGATTCAACATGATCGTCCAGGTGTCCGTTGGGGAAGGAAGACCTCCGAGATCGCTGGTTCGAAGTTCCGTCCCACTGTCACGGGTTCCCTTCGGATCCTTTAGTGCTGCTGTGCTGCCGCTTCTGCTTTGCTCGACCGCGGCGGGGCGTGGGCGTCGGAGGTGCGTGTTCCCAGCGGTTCCCGGCTGTTCTACTACGTACTGTATATACCTTATGGATAATTGTCCTAGAGATGATATCGATTGGGAGGGAGTTCTGAAGAGTATATCCTGGGCTTGTTATCTATTTACTCAGGTAGGCCTGACTGGTCTCTTGCAAAGCAACAGCCAAGCTTTGTGTACTAACTTACACAGTACCTGATTCTTTGTTTGGCCATGCAAATATACAATGTGGCGGATTTAGATGCACAGGACAGGCTGATTGGATTTGCCCTGACGGATACCACGGTGCCCTGACCAGAGTCTCTATCATGTACAGTAGAGTTTATCTTCGCGGAGTATGCGGTTTCGTTTGTTTCTCTGTGCTTCCTACTTCTTTCTCGGTAGTTGAGCAGGTGCGTGCTCAATAGCAATGAGTGGGTGCCCCGGAACTGCAACCAAGTACTGTACTGTACATACAAAAGCAGCGGCATGCGCAATCAATCGAGCAGCTCACATGCAAACGAAACAGTCCCAAGTTCAGCGACAGATTTATTCGCGGCGCCAGCTGCCTCGTACCCGACTTGAGTTTCTTGGGGGGTTATCGCATTGTTTCAGTAGGACAGTAGACGACGGGGCTGGAGAGAATCGGCTTGCTGATAGGAGTGCAGCTCGGAGAGCAGGAGATTGAATTTGGCAGATCAAACGGACAGAGCTGAATTGGCTTGTCACTACGGAGTACAGAATGGCAAAGTTAACATAAACACTTCGTGTGATGTGCATCTGGACCCGACCTGCTTATGAATCGGGGGTGAGGATGGAAGACACAAACAAAACGTCATTCCCGAGAACCCCGCCAGGTGGGGTAAAAAGCGACTCAGATTGGAAGCTCGTCGAAACCGAACCCACTGCCGCTGTTGCTCCGTTGCTACTGCTTGGTTGCTGGTGCACCTGGTGCTCCTCCTCGGTGCTTTGCTCATTTTAGCTTACCCCTCGTTCGCTTTCCTCCACTTCTTCCCTCCCTCAATCCCTCTCTCCCTCCCTCTCGCTCTTTCTCCTGTTCCTTCTCCCGTCCATCTCTTGCTTTCCTCACCAGTTTCTGAATCCCCAGATATCAAATTCCCCCACAACCGTCAAAATGGTCAAGGCTGGTAAGTTTGGATACCCTCCTTTCATCTAGTCCTCGTATTATTGGTCTTTCGCCTTTCCATGGGATCCACGATCGGCCAACGGCCCGGGGGAAGGGGGACCTTGAGTGAGCAGATTTGAGCACCTTGCGATCTCTCCTCCTGCGTCACCCGACCTATCACCGATTGAGGACCCTGCTCGATGGACAGACAAGCTCAAGAAGCACTGCCAACTCGAGTCCCTGGAGGCTTTGATTCGTTCTCCCCTGTCGGCTTGACAAAATAACCACCACCTTGTTCCCATTGAACCCTGCTAGCCGGCTGGCTGGTCCTGGCTCAGCTCGGATCGGGTGATCCTGTTTCAGGAAGCCTTCTAGTTAATGAGATCATGGGCTAACTCAAACTTTCCTCCCCTCTCACCAGTCGCTGTTCTCCGTGGAGACTCTAAGATCTCCGGCACTGTCACCTTCGAGCAGGCCGATGAGAACACTCCCACCACCATCTCCTGGAACATCACTGGCCACGACGCCAACGCTGAGCGTGGCTTCCACGTTCACCAGTTCGGTGACAACACCAACGGCTGCACCTCCGCTGGCCCTCACTTCAACCCCTTCGGCAAGACCCACGGTGCTCCCGAGGACTCCGAGCGCCACGTCGGTGACTTGGGTAACTTCAAGACCGATGCTGAGGGTAACGCCGTCGGCTCCAAGCAGGACAAGCTTGTGAAGCTCATCGGTGCTGAGAGCGTCCTGGGCGTACGTTTCCTCGAACCCCCTCTTACTTAGTGGCCATATCGATTAAACTAACACGTTTGCAATGCAGCGGACCCTGGTCGTCCACGCCGGCACTGATGACCTCGGCAAGGGTGGTAACGAGGAGTCCAAGAAGACCGGTAACGCTGGTCCCCGCCCTGCCTGCGGTAAGTTGTCTCTCGAATGGCTCATCGTGGAAATATACTCATGTCTCTGCTTTTTTGATAGGTGTCATTGGTATCGCCGCTTAAGTGCATTTATAATAGTGTTATGTTGTCAATTTAGGTCTGAAAGGCTTAACCAGAATGGAAATAGTCTGCTATTGTCCGATTGATGTCATGAAACAGATTGAAATGCATGAATGACTTGATGCGAGTAATCCAGGCGATTCCCTGTCTTGGTCGACCATGTAGTACTTTTCTTGTAATGTGTCGTAGTGTTACGAGGTGATAGCCAGCGTCAAAGCTCCATCGCTGTCTCGATGCCAATGCCTCTTTTTCAGTGCTAGGTTGAGTACGTTAAATTGTATCCGAGCTAAAGAAAGCCGGTGGTATACAAAATCAAGCTGATTCCTATGCCTTTGTTCAAGGGGTATCTGTCAATCGAACATGGTCTCTGAAAGACACACTTAATGGCGATGTGGTGTCTAGAGTTGCTTTGACGGTGCCAATTGCCAGTATTGTGCACTGCAGTGATTTATTCAATATGCATCAATAACTGTAAAGGTATAATTCATCTTTTAATCAATACACACAGAGTGCTGCATTGTTGAGTGGCTAGAATCCGGTAGGCGGAAGCTCCCCCACAAAGTCAGGTGTTCCGCCTTGACGCGATTGGTCTCGCTCTCCCGCCGGTGCTGTACCTGGCCAGATCAGCAGCATCCGCCGTTGACTCGATACTCTTTGGTCTTCCCGTTCACTCTCCTCTTTCCTTCCGCCTCTCCTGATCTTATTCCCAATAATCCCATCCTTTCTTCCCCTTCTCTTCTTTGATTGCTTTACCTTGGGCCTTGTCAATCTGACTGGGTGAAGTCCTTATACCTTAATTCCTTCTCCTCTTCACCCATTACACCAGCTCTCGCCAGAATGCCTCTGGAAGCTCGTGTGAAATCTGTCCTATCCGGCGACACGGTGGTGCTGTCGCATATCACCAATCCCGGCCAGGAACGCGTCCTGAGTCTGGCATATGTCTCAGCCCCCAGGCTGCGCAGAGAAGGCGATGAGGTATGTCGAATTGACTCAAAATACGGTCCTCAATCGTTGATCGGATGACCTTTCCTCTTCCGCTGGTTGCCCGCATATGTGTCCTTTGCATTGAGGCAGTGAACTCGGTCTCATTTGAGCCTCTACCCTTACCCCGTTGCCACACGTTGTGATATCGAAAATCAATTCCAAAATAAGATGCAGCATCGTTTGCTAATCTGAATTGATGAATTCCTGCAGCCATACGCTTTTCAGTCCCGCGAATTCCTCCGTGAACTGCTCGTCGGCAAAGTAGTGCAATTCCAAGTCCTGTACACCATTCCCACCGGCGCCAAGCGGGACTACGGCACAATCAAACTACCCACCTTCGAGGTCTCTGTGCCGGATATCAGCGTGCAGGAAGGATGGACTCGTGTTCGTGAAGAGGCCGGTAAGCGCAGCGATGAGTCCGAGGAAACCCTCGCCTACCTCGAGCGGCTGCGTGCTTTGGAGGACCACGCCAGGTCAGAAGGCAAGGGAACCTGGGCTGGCTCCGACAAGGGTCACACTGAAACCAGCTATGAGCTGTCAGACGCCAAGTCCCTGGTCGATGAATGGAAGGACAAGCATCTCGAGGGTATTGTCGAGCGAGTTCTGAACGGTGATCGTTTGGTCCTACGCTTGCTGCTATCGCCAGAGGAACATCTGCAGGTCGTCGCTGCCATGGCTGGTGTCCGGGCGCCTGCGGTCAAGCGAGTGACTGCTGACGGCAAGGAGCAGGCAGCCGAGCCGTACGGAGACGAGGCGTTCCAGTTTGTGGAATCCCGTATCCTGCAGCGCAAGGTTCAGGTGTCTCTGCTTGGTGTCACCCCCCAGGGCCAATTGATCGCCAGTGTCCTTCACCCCAACGGAAACGTTGCCAAGTTCTTGCTCGAGGCCGGTTTGGCCCGCTGCCATGACCACCACTCAGCCCTCCTGGGTACCGAGATGGCCGCTTTCCGCCGCGCCGAGAAAGCTGCCAAGGATGCCAGAGTCGGCTTGTTTACCGGTCTCGTCGCATCCAAGGGTCCTGCAGGCGGGGCCGCTGAGGACTACACTGTCACCCGTGTGTTGAATGCCGACACTCTGTTCATCAGGAACAAGGCTGGCCAGGAGAAGAAGATCAGCTTGAGCAGCGTCAGACAGCCAAAGCCTTCCGATCCCAAGCAGGCGCCCTTCGCAGCCGATGCTAAGGAATTCGTTCGCAAGAGGCTCATCGGCAAGCATGTTAAGGTCACCGTCAACGGCAAGAAGCCCGCAACAGAGGGTTACGAGGAGCGAGACGTCGCCACCGTTGTACAAGGAAACACCAACATTGCTCTTGCGCTGGTCGAGGCGGGTTACGCTTCCGTGATCCGTCACCGCCAGGACGACGACGACCGCTCCCCGGAGTACGACAGCCTGATGCTCGCGGAGGCTGAGGCTCAGTCGGAGGGCAAGGGCATGTGGTCGCCCAAGCCACCCAAGGCCAAGCAGTACCAAGATTACTCCGAGAGCCTTCAGAAGGCCAAGATGGAAGTCTCGATCCTTCAAAGGCAGAAGCGGGTGCCGGCCATTGTCGACTTCGTCAAGTCCGGCTCGCGCTTCACTGTGCTTGTGCCTCGCGAGAACGCCAAGCTTACCCTCGTTCTGTCCGGTATCCGTGCTCCCCGCTCTCCTCGTAACCCCAACGAAGCCGGTGAGCCTTTCGGTCAGGAAGCACATGACCTGGCCAACAGACGCTGCTTGCAACGCGACGTTGAGATCGACGTCGAGACCATTGACAAGGTCGGGGGATTCATTGGTACCCTGTATGTGAACAAGGAGAACTTCACCAAGATTCTGCTCGAGGAAGGTTTTGCTACTGTTCACGCTTACTCCGCTGAGCAGTCTGGTCACGCCACCGAATATTTCGCTGCTGAACAGAGGGCTAAGGAGGCTCGCAAGGGACTCTGGCATGACTGGGATCCTAGCAAGGATGTCGAAGAGGAGGAAGAGGCGGTCAACAGCAGCAACGGTGCTGAAGCCGAGGAAGTTCAGCGCCGCAAGGATTACCGCGATGTGATGGTCACTTACGTTGACCCGACCAACGGTCGCCTCAAGATTCAGCAGATTGGCACCGGTACCTCAGCCCTCACCGAGTTGATGAGTGCCTTCCGCTCTTTCCACATCAACAAGGCCAACGATACTCCCCTGTCTGGGCCTCCCAAGGCCGGTGACTTCGTGGCGGCCAAGTTCAGCGAAGATGGGGAATGGTACCGTGCTAAGGTTCGTCGCAACGACCGCGAGAAGCAGCAGGCGGAGGTTTTGTATATCGACTTCGGTAACTCCGAGGTTCTTCCCTGGTCTCGTCTGCGACCCCTGAGCCAGCCTCAGTTCTCTGTTCAAAAGCTTCGCCCTCAGGCTGCTGATGCAGTTCTCTCCCTGGTTCAGCTCCCCGGCGCCGAGGACTACCTGCAGGATACTGTGAGCTTCATCGAGGAGCAGGTTTACAACCGTGAGCTTGTGGCCAACGTGGACTACGTCTCTCCCGAAGGCACCTTGCATGTGACCCTTCTGGACCCTACCGAGTCGAAGAATCTGGACCACAGCATCAACGCGGATATTGTTCGGGAGGGTCTGGCGATGGTCCCGCGGAAGTTGAAGGCTTGGGAGCGCGCTGCCGCTGATACCTTGACTCACCTCCGTGTGATGGAGGATGAAGCCAAGCAGGAGCGACGCGGTATGTGGGAGTACGGTGACCTGACTGAGGACTAAGCTCGTGGAAATTCTCTTTACTTGGATTAACTGTACAAATATTGCGCAGCTGGTGCTTTCTTTTACGTTTGATTCCCAACGGGCGACGAACTGTAAGGTCCTGATCGGGCTGTTTGATTCGCCCCAAAACTATTTTGATGTGACCTACTAGGCTAGTCTAGGATACTCCCTCACTTTTTAACTCTGCTTGAAGGATACCAAAAAGGAGAAATCAAAACTGATGACGTTCTTATTCCATGGGCGATATATTCTCTGCCGTCTGCATAAATTGGACCCTGGGTGCATAGATGACATAACCCGGCAATTATGAGTCTTCCCGGCATCCGAAACTTTGTTTTGTGGCGATGGAGAGACAAATCCGTTGTTCAGCCCAACCGGCCGGTCTTGTTACTCCAATTTGCTCCTTGGTCGGCGACTTAGTTCTTATGTGTTGGGCGATAATTTTCACAGGCGTGTTCTATTGGTCTTCGTATCTCAGTCATTTCTTTGCATGCCGGGTATAAGGCAAGTCCGCGAAGATCCGATCGATCCCCGAGCGCAGCTCTCGTAAAGACGACCGACCCACTCTAGATCCTATAGCCTTGTTTCATTTCAACATTCTTTCTCGATCTTACCAACCATCCCCCCTGACGAAACAAACAATCAAAATGCCTTTCTGGGGAAGCAAATCGACGCCCACCAAGGCGGAGAGCGACGCCAGCTCGAATGACGCAACCGATCCTAAGAACGACCCGGTCGCTGCGGCATCGCAGGCGGCGGGCACGGCCTGGCTCGCGGGCCATCTCCACCACCTGACGGAAGACCAGGAGCAGAAGCTGGAAGAGTTCAAAAAGCTGTGCGAGCAAAATGGATACTATACGCCGGAGCGAGATGGCGAGAAGGCCAGTCACGCCGATGCGACCATGCTGTATGGATTCATCTTCCCTCCCCCCCCTTTACGCACCCTTGCCACAACAACAGACAAGAAAGACACTGACACTGGGACCTCGGTCTAAAGGCGTTTCCTTCGCGCGCGCAAGTTCGACATCGATGGCGCTTGGGGACAGTTTAAGGATACCGAGGATTGGCGCCGCGAGAACGCCATTGAGTCGTTGTATGAGAACATCGAGGTGGATGCATATGAAGCTGCTCGACGGATGGTTCGTTATCTACCCGATGGTAGAAAATAGGTTGAAGATGAACATGGTCGCTGACGGTGGTTTGCTCCACCATAGTATCCTCAATGGACCGGCCGTCGTGACCGTCGCGGTATCCCTGTCTATGTGTTCGAGATCCAACATTTGAACAACAAGAACATGGCCGCGTACAAATCTACCCTGTCCACTGAGACACAACAGTCGTCGAAGGTTCCCGAGCGGTTACTGCGTCTCTTCGCTCTTTACGAGAATCTCCTTCGCTTCGTCATGCCCTTGTGCTCACAGCTGTCTCGCC